CGTTGGTTAATGTGTCTGTTGAGTTGTTGATATTTTTTGCCGTTTATTATTACTATTATTTCGTGAGTCATTTTCTGTTAAACACTTAGACACATTGAAAGCAGCAATTTTCAGAAATATAACAAAACAAAAACCAAACTAAAAGAAAAGAATGTAATCATTTGCAGTCAAACGTGTATATAATACAACGTAAAATAAACAACACAAAATATCATGCGATACATTTGAAAAGGCTGCGCTTTACGACTTTTTGCTGATGCAAGTGAAACCATATTCATCCTACTATCGTTGCGCGCACACTCTTTATATGTTCTTTTGTACGACTCATTGTCGTTGTTTTTAATTATACAACAAACCGAAAGCAGATATGAACAGAGTGAAAAAAATAATCATTATAACAAATAAGTTGACTTTGAACTCGCTAGCGCGACAACTTCGAAAATTTAATGCAAACTGAAAACAAATGAAAATACCATTTGGATCAGACCGCATTATTATTGCAATGTGATGAACACTGTGGTTTTTTATTCATGAAAGAGCAAAAATGCTATTGAATAATGGTCTGCATTCACCTTCAAGATCAGCATGAGCTTAGTATTTAAATATAAAAGGCAATTGTGCTTATCCTAAATTTGATATAATAGAAACAAAAAACAACAAGCTTATCAGAAAATAAAGTTTGCATTGTGGGTTTCATCCTTCACATTCTTCATATGACTTATAGTTATGAATTATATTGAGAAACAGAGAATCAACAGTGCAGAGTTAGAGGGCGAAAAAATGAACCAAATAAAAAGTGTAAATATTACGTACGTCCATGCTCATTTTAAATAAAATGCAACACGTTTTCATTTGCTCTGACCGCGTAACATACTTGTTTAATTTATAATTGGTTGGCGTAACAAGAAAAAGAGCCAAACAACGCCGAGATGAAGGCAAGGATGCAAATAACTTCAAATTTTAATTAAAGATCTACAACACAATACATAACAGAGGTATGTATGTGAGTTCAACAGAAACCAGTCGAAATGCCTTTCACGCAGACTTTAATGAAATTTTTAAAATTTAAATTTCAAATGAATACAGAGAAAATATTTAACGTCAGGGGAAACCCACATTTGAAATTATTAGCTAATTGCCAATCGCAGGTCATTACATCAGTAGAACTGCATAAGAATTGAAGTTCATTAAAACACATAAATAAACACGAAGTGATGACAACACAATCGAGGTAACAATCGAATTATTTTGCATTTTAAATGTGTGCTTGATGGGCTGGTTTATTCAGCTCTTTTTTGTCTTTTAGTTAATTAAATGCTTACTTGACGTTGGATTTAGTGCAGCAAGGGAAAAAATGTCTATGACTATTTGAGACGAATAACAAAAAGAAATGACAAAGAATGAATGAAAGGTGAATCTGTTCCGAATGTGGGTGTAAAATACGTTCGGTTCAACAATGCCATGAACTGATGAATGTGCTATTTTCGGAGAGCATAAGCTTTAAATATTTTTGGTATTTCTGTGTGGTATACAAGGTTATATATGTTTCGGTTCGATTCCCACATGCTTTTCGAAATTATTATTTAAACATTCTTGTGTGGTGTATGCGGCGGTGATAGTAAATGCGTGCGCAATACAATAGGGCTATTCAAACGCATGTGAATAAATGTTGTAGCCAAGAATAGGAATGTAGAAATACGAATGCATTTAAAAAATATATATACAGTCCGGACCGTGCATCAAGGTAATCATTTTTCTATTGAAGTAAATCGCATTTCTGCGATAAGATGGCGTTTAATGTGATGAAGTATATTCTATATTCACATTGGAGTATGAGGCAACAGTGATACAAATAACATGAGATTATCTCGTGCAAACTGCATTTTATCCTTTTTAGCGTTGCTATCACAAAATGAGCAGTCCACAACGACAAGAAGAACGGACAAAAAATTAACACGATGAAGACATGCGTTGTTCACAAAGAGCACAAGTGGCACACGAAGCGATGAAGATTGAATGGACCAAGAAAAGAGAACAAGAAAAAATAGTCGTCGACATTTTATTTTGAAGTTTATGATCTTATGGTTGCTTGATTCGAATCACATTTGACCGAAAATAAAACAGTTCATTTTCTTTCACTTTTATTTTGGATTAAATGCCTTTATCAGTGAAAGTTCAGTAAGCCAATTCAATGGTTGCGAATGCTCCTGATGACGATGACAGCACGGGTAATCATCGAACGGAGAATTCAACTTATCGTGTGATTTGTTTATTCTGCATTACGAACGACTATAGAAAAATATATAGGAAAAAAGAGATAGAGAGACTTAGAGGGAAAACGACAAAAAACGCCACCGAATAAAGTAAATGGGGTATGACGAATAAAGATAAAGACCAAGACACAAGAGAAGAGTAACGAGAAAAAAAATTGAACGTATGCTGAATAATAAAGCTCGTAATAGTTTGATAATTTTGCGACAATTGCTTGCAATTGCCAATTTCTATTCGCCATTGTTTGCCTCTTTCGTCAATTTTTCAGCCATGATTTTTTTGTTTGCTTTCGATTTGATCAAATTGATGGTACGTGCAATTTTGTGACACGAGCAAATACTTTTTTTTTACTTCGTATTAATTACAAATTGTATAGACAATTATTAAAATAAACCAGACATGACGCGCGGTCTTGTCATAGGGATTCACAAAAATGTGTGCCACTCTCTTGCCACGCTTCTTTTTTTCACGCTTTCTTTTATTTTCGGTACACATCCTGTGATAACGAGAGAACGCAAAAAACACCATCCTTTCTATCTACATTTTTTGCACCGTTTGTGATTCAAGGCGTTTTTTATTCATTTTGTTTTTTTTTTAATTGTCTATACTTTTCAAAGCATGCAACATACCTTTGAGCGTGCACAAGAAATGAGGTGTACCTAAAATTACAATTATTTCTTGCGGCTTTATGTGGTGCAACCACTTTCAATATATATGCGATATTAAAATGAATTCAAAATAAGCGTAAAAATAGCAGCAATGGAGCACCATGCTGTGTACCATGCATATTTTCTTTTTATTCAAGAAAAAATATCCATGAATCATTCATAATCTGTCTATCTTATTTTGCCATTCAATTTTAACCTCTGGAAATGTTCTTTCCTGTACAATGTACTTTGATTTTGTCGGTGAACCATATGCACTGCATCTTATTCGACATGTTAGCACTCTTTTTTCTCTCTAAACTCCTCTCCTCTTCACTCTGTCTCTCTCACTGTCTCTATCTATATCACACTTTCTCTCCATCGTGTATACTTTTGGTCGTTATACTTAATTCCGTTTCGTGTTTTTTTTTTCTTCTCTTCGACGTGTATTTATGCTGTCGCTGCTTTTAAAAATCATTACACAAAAAGTGTAAACAAAAGCATCAAATATGATAAGACAACATAATTTATTAAATATAATAGAAAAGTGAAATTGTACAACATAGTAAATGAATAAAAGAAGGGTCATGAAGACTTTGCTGAACTGTCAGATCGTATAACAGCGGTCGGTGAGCAAGCGAATAAGCTTTTCACATCCTCAAATTCCATGTGCACAATAGTGTTTGCGCAAAGTTTTCCCATCACATGCGGAGTTCGAGTTCTGGTGATGGTATTTGCAACCAACACAGAATTGTTAACCATTGTCCCATTTCACTCTCTCTCCCTATCTCTCACACATACTTTGCTTCGTATTCAACTGACATCACGTCACTCAATTTGAGCTCATGGATTTTGTATTTCTTGGGGTTGCTTTGCCGATTATGAAAAGTGGTGGCAATAACATTGTAAACGATTTTAGTAATTGCTGTGCAAATTTGCTTTTTTATTATTATTATTATTTTCTATTTTTTTTTCTCCCGTCATCGCCTTATTCAGTTACTGTATATTTTTCTTTCTCTTCAGCTTGCATGTATGTTCATCATTTATTTTACAACTGAACGTCATCACGTTCATGTTATCGCAACGAACTGCATTTTGATTACTTGTTTGATGAAAAGCATTTCATTCGACTCAACATTCTTTGATGCAGTACTGTGTGTCTCGTGGGACGACTTTTTCTCTTTCTTTAAGTTTCTGGGGTTTTTTTTTTTTTAATTTTACATCACCGTAAGGAAGATTCACCTATATTCATGAGTATTTTTCTTTGGTTGCAGATTTTTTTATTCTCCACTTCTTTTTAAGTATACAATGTTGATTTCATTACAGACATTTTTCTTTCTCTCCCTTTTCTTGCTTCTCTTTGCGTTAGCACATTTGCAACCGTAACGTTTCGTGTTGTTCTTATTGGCCAGTTTGGTCATTGAGCAATATTCAAATTGATTCTTTTTCCATCGTTTGTTTCCCGCAACAATTTTCACTAAATGTATTTGCATTTTGCATTTCTACGAAATATTTATCGGATTTGTTTGTAATGCGCCATTGCGCATTTGTGTACGTTCAAATTAAATTTATTTACAAACAGCAAAAGTAAAAACAGATGAAAAATAAACAAAAAAGCGAAATTACAAATGACCGCTTGCCGATAAGAAGTGCCGTGCAAAAAAGAAACAACAACAACAACAACAGCAGAAATAGTTATTTGTTCAGTGTGCAAACACATTTATTTCGATGGTATTATATTTGTTTTTTTTTAGTGTATTTCACCGTGTTCATCTGAATGAGTTTTCTTCTCAAAGTTTATTTTAAATATTTTATTCATAGTGCAAGCTATATATAAATAATAATAATAAATTTCATTTCAACGAGATGATATGTTTTCGACAAAACAGAAGACATAGAGAGTATGAGACAGAGTGAGAAAATTGTGTAAATATTTCGACGATTGTTTACAAAGTGGTTTTCCAGAAAGATGTATACATTTTTTTTTCTCGTTGGTTTCAGCTCATTCTCACACATCGAGCTGTGATCGTTCTGGTTGAAATGCATTGGTTTGTATATAAGTAAGTGGAAAGGTGAAAAATTGCCATTTAGTACACTTGAGCAGTTCATGCCATAAATCCACACTCAAAATCAGAGCGCGAACAAAAAAAAAACCGAAACGAAGGACGAGTGGTGTGCGCCAGAGAGACAGAACACAATAACCACACACACAAAATTCAGTCTTTTCAAACAGTCCATATACTAAATGAGACTGAGTTGAAAACGAGTTTTCTGTTAGATGAATGGAAAAAGTGTAATACGATCATAAATTTATTTATGTTTGAACTTATTCGGTCAAAAGTCAAAAACGATTAATTTTTTTCACTCTTGTTCGCATTACTGCATTCAGTGTGCGTGCTGACATTGTAGTATAATAAATTGTGTAGTGGGTGTTCGTCGTAGTTTTTAGCTCGAGCTTTCGTTCTTGCACATTCTTGCCAAACATTTATCATCGAAAAGTGTTTTTCTCCGAAGAAAAAAAAAACAAACAAATTAAATAAAAAAAAAAACATAAATTGTGTGCAACTTAAAATGCATTGTATATTAGAGATGCTAAGATGTTCAACAGCGACATTATTGCCGTTGATATTGGTGCTATCATTTGTAACCGTAATTTCGGCTGACTGTGATAATTCCATCGTACCTGAATTGACATTTCGTTTGGGTGGCAATAATCTCAATTGGCCATGCGAGGCAACAAAAAATATCTACAGCGGTTCTGGTCGTTATATTCCAAAAAGTGTAATTGCAACACGTTCGCAAATTTATCGTGACACCGCTTTTGTTGCAATTCCACGGTATCGTGCTGGTGTACCATTTACATTGGGCCGTGTTGATTTGAGAAAAGGTAAATGTTCCGTACCAATTGCACCATATCCATGTTGGGCATCACAAGACGAAGGCAATTGCCAGGCACTTCAAAATGTCGTCGATATTTATCTTGATCGGCAGGTTTGTTTGTTAAATTTTTTCCCCCCGCAAATACTTATCGTGGTCAATTGCATTTTTTCAAATATTTTAAAATGCATTTCTTTGTCTTATTTCATTCTAGAGTACACTTTGGGTCTTGGACACCGGAATCGTAAACAATTTAGCACAGCCAATTAAACGTTGTTCACCAAAAGTCGTCGCTATCGATGTTCCAAGTGGTAAAATTGTAAAAACAATCGATCTCTCGAGTTTAGTTGTGTCCGCATCACGATTACAGTATTTAGCCGTTGACTACGATAAAAATGGGCATGCATTCCTGTAAGTGTTAAATGATTCAACTTTATTCTGCAGACAATTTGGTAAACGTTTTGTTCGTTGAAAAAATCATGTTTTTTGGATGAAGATGTGCGCAAATTGATACTAAACCATTTAATTGATGTTTAACAAATAAGAAATTTGTGTTGAATGCGCCAATTTGAATGAATATTAGAGAACGATTTTGCTTTTAAATGACATGCTTAAATCACGTGCCTTTGCCAAACACTTGTCGATGCCGAACGAATCAATTTGAAAATCACGCAAACGATTTACGAGTTTGCTGCAAAAGGAAATGAATAATAAAGCATACTGCACCGGCTAATGGTCGTGAAGTAGGTGAACCAAGCATGAATTAATCAGTGTACATATAGTCCATGCATGTGTGCATTGTACACTCTTAACATCATCAAATACATAGATACATCCATAATCCATTTGAGATCCATACATTTTGGCTGCAACTCTTAACTTCAATTCGTTAAAAATCCAGTCTTATGAACATGCAGTGTACCTTTTTTTTACTTTATCTCCCATTCTCAGTCTTTTTATGTTTCTTTTTTTCTCAAACGATTGAAACCGCGTGTGAATTCATCTTCGTTTGTTTGAATGGATTTTCTCCGTCGTTTTTTTTTTTCATATGGCTTTCAACACTGTCTTTTCGAGAAACGGGTAGCGTTTTGATTCGAATAGTTTTGTCCCGTTCCGTTGCACCACCACATATCCATAATTCATTGTGTGTGCTTTTTTGCTCTTTTTTCTGCCATTCGTTTCAACTTTCTTATTTCTTTGTTTTATCGCATTTTCGCCCATATCCATATACCAACTGAATCGTATGCCAAGAGCAAGTGAACATTTGCCACTTTGGCAAATTGTATAGCGATTTATGTTCGCACTCTCAACCCGCTCAATTTCCACCAATTTCATACAGACACAACGGAACGTTTTATTCCGAATCAAACAAGGAAGCGCAAAATGAATGCGGTAACGGCACACGATAGCATCGGTAGATGACGTGAGCGCTCAACCATATGAAATTCCTATTCGAAGGCGAAAAAACAAGAAAAATAACGAACAATAAAAAAAACAGCCACATACACATATATCCAATGAATTACAAGTTTGTGTTCAAAGCGAATGCAAAAAAATGGTTTACATTCAGATTGCATCATTTTTCATCCTATGCGATGTGGTTCGATTTGGCATTTCATTTCATGCATCGCATTTCTGTAAGTTTTGTTTGTTTATTGGTTTGTACATTCATCTATATATATGTGTGTGTGGGTGCGGGTCGTGCCTGAAATTACTTCCAAAGCAGGCCACATTTCCATTTTCCAACAAGCGAATAAACAAAAAGAAGTAAACTGATTTCGTTTGGGTGCTATCACCTACAAAATCACAATGCTATACAAAATATAATACTTCCGCTGATTATACCATTTCACTGAATGGTGACTGTAAAAGTCGCATACACACCAATATTATTCGAATACGTTTGTATATCGTTTTAGTGAATAAACATACCGTACGGCACAAAACATCATTCACAATGAATTGCGCACACATAACAGAAATTCAATTGACGAAGACTACAAAAATACTTGAACATTTGATAAGAAACCTGTCATTTTTTAATTTAAATTGCAATCACATTCAAAAATCTTACCACTTGTGGTTCGATGTTTGGTGATGTGTGTGTGTGTGTGTGTGTGTGTTTACCACGTTAGAAAAATATGCACAAGAAGGAGAGTGTGAAAAAAAAGTCTGACTTCGAAGAATTGAATCGTGTGAGATTCGAATGCCATCATGAATGGAAAATCGTGAAAGCCATAAAAATTAATGAGATACTTCGGCTGTATGGTGGTTTTGGTTTCGAATAAATAAAAATAGTTTCTCTCTCTCTCTCTCTCTTTTCTTTGGTCGTTCTCTCCAAGTAAGAGTGTGTGTGTCTATATGTCGTTTATGTTTTGACAGAAAAACATCAAAACATTCTTTGCTCGTGCTTGAAGACCGAACACACATAGAACCATATAAATGTGGTTGTAAATATATAACCACACAATGCCATTTTCCTTAGTTGTTGGTTTTTCACATCGAAATGCTATTTTCAGTGAAAGTGCCGTGGATGCCATCACTACCGCAGCGCGCTCATTTCTGCTCACTTTTCGATGCCAAACAATTTACGATTCCGTTCAACTGACTCTTGATGCGAAGTCATTTAATAATAAGTGCTTTTAAATCAGTCGACAAATTCTTTTTGTTGACAGATTAAGAGCTTAAACGGCAAAAACGGTTTCGCATTACGTTTCGACGATACAAAATTATTGCTACCACTTTTCATTGGTTATTCCACCGTAACATAATAAAGACGATTTGTCACAGAAGCGAATAAACATACACCCACACAAGCGACATATGAAACACGGATTAAAATTTTCAATCCGGTTTCCAACAATTAAACCAAATACAACCAAGCATCAAAATGTGAGAGGGCGACATCGAATACAATAACAAATAGCGCCAGCAAAACCAACGAAAATAAATGAATAATGTCTGAGAACGTCTGTTGAGAAATGAATGTCAATTTTATTCTAATTTAGATAAATATTTTTTACGTTATACGTTCGACGAATCTTCCAATAATAACAGTGAAAAAAATGTTTTTTGCAATCAGGTTTTGGTTGCCCATCACTCGTCGCGTTTCGTCGTTCCACATTTTAGTAGTGCGCATTCACGATTATGATATACGTGAAATTATTTTCACATTATTTTACATTTAATATTCGCATTTTTGCGATGGTTTTTTTTTTGTTGCGCATAACAAAAAAATCCGATAATATTCAATTGCACATGCGGCGCACACAAAACGAATAAATTTCTAAAGAATGTTTTTATATAAAAAAAAAGTAATTTAAACGTAAAAGCCGCCATAGATTGAGAATATGTCAATTTAAACGAACGAATAAAGAAAAATTATGCTATTTTGAATGTGTATATTCAGTTCACGATTCACCAATTAAAATAGCGAATACCACATCATTGAAAACATAAAATATGAATTTATTCACTCATTCAACGTTATTTTCATCTAATTGATACACATTTATTATTTCAAAGCCTTTATACTTCTTCTCTCTACGGCCCGTTGCATGCGCGCAGTTTGATCTCTGGGAATGCATTTCACCGGAGTCAATATTTGATTTCAATGCATTTTTTGTGCTATTTTCAATTTAGGTTTTTCTTTCTTTGACTTTTCGTGTGCTCCAATTCAAATTCCAATAAATATTTACATTTTTCTTCATCAGATATGTTTAAATAAACGATAGTTTGGCGAAAAAAAAAAATCCCAAGTATTTGCACCAGAGAAAAAATCATTACACAGAAATCACATGTAGTTGTGATTCAATTTTGTTCCGATCGATTTTGGCTTGCATGTCGATCCACAAAACGAATAAAAGAAATTGGAAAAAAATTTGAATCGAAAAAACATTTTTATTTGACATAAATAATCACAAAAACTTTGTTCGTTCCATGTGTTTTTTTTTCTTCTACATCTTCTTTTCTCTGTTCTTCAGTACTCTAGCGTCCAATATGATTTAGTGAGTAAGTTCTGGCTCGTGTAAGATAACTGTGGTACCATCAGTTTCGGAGCGAAAGGGAATAAAAAACAGAAACCTCCTGTTTTTCTTTGATTTTTGAGTCATTTATTTCCGCCATCGAGTGAACACACCGACATCATATATATCACGATTTCATTCGATTTGCTCTATTCAAATAAAAAGTGATTGTAATTCTATAGAGGGAAAAATCCCATTTCCATTTGAATTGTCATTAAATAGAATGCATGCAAAATATGCGAGTCCCAAAGTCTCTGATTAAATTTCCAATGATTTTTCTTTTAGCCAAATACATAGATGATGACGTAAAAATTTTTAGGGGGGGTGATGGCAAAATTCTGTAGGGGGTTCCTGGAAAAATCCATGGGGGGTCCCTGACGATGTCAACAATTTGTACGAAATGACACAAAAATCGTTTTTTTTTTTTTTTGGAAGTCACTTTTTTGGCGAAAATCCCTAGCAAATCGAAAGAATTTCTCGACCAAAAAAAGTGAAGAGCAAAAAAAAAGGTCCTCATTTCGACAATTGAAAAAGTGAAGAGCAAAAAAAAAAAAAAG